TTTTCTTCCAGTTCGGCCTGTGTAATGTTTCTCACAGTCCTTGCGTGGTATTTTGTATATTACGTTAGTTTTATTGGTTGTGGATATGGGATCCTTTACGTTTGGCAGTAGCTGTCGCAGGGTGGTTGTTGGTTTGTGGGCTACCCTGATACTGAGGGGTCTGAGTAGTCTCGACATCAACATGGACAACAGAAATATGGACCAACAACATCTCAGACCAACCACTTACAGACACTGAGAAGGCCATTCTGGTACGTGGACTGAATTATAACTACAGAGACACCAAAAAGACTGACTTCCTAGCCACACTGGAATTGACACTAAAAGAGCAACAGACTCATGAAAGAAATACAACAGACCATCAGACAGACAATAGTTCCAACAATGAGCAGAAAATGTAAGTGGAACACATTTAACACAGAAGAGAAGAAAGCCCTGGAAAGACTGAAGAAAGACAAAAACATCATCATAATCTTACAGCGGACAAAGGATGCACGACAGTATTCCTTAACAGTGCCCAACACATCGAGAAAGCTAACACACTACTAGCAGATACTGACACCTACCACCAGATGGCGATAGACCCAACATCACTGTTAGAGAACTGGATTACAACAACCCTGAAGAAATTACACAGCTCAGGAGATATCAGTAACACAGACTGCCAAAAAATGAAGCCTGAGGGATCCAACACACCCCGCTTCTACGGACTCCCTAAGGTACACAAGCCAGGGGTCTCCCTCAGACCCATTGTCTCACTGTCAAGTACACCAACATATAGATTAGCCAAAGAACTACAACAGAAATTGAAATAATTAGTTGACAACACTACCCATTCCATCCACTCCTCCCAAGGATTCTTCAACAACATCAAGGACACCAGGATAGAAAACGACGAGATAATGATATCCTTCGACGTAACAGCACTATTTACATCCATAAACATCGACCTCGCCAAAGGGATAATTGCCACACTGCTGAACGAATCAGGAAGGCAGGCACCCCACAACACCAACAAGGACAGCACCCTGAAACTGCTGGATCTGTGCCTCACAACCCACTTCACCTTCAACGGCCGTATATTCAACCAAATCAACGGAACACCAATGGGATCCCCAAGATCAGGACTGATTGCAGATGCAGTAATGCAAAGGTTAGGAACAAAAACAGATGCTGCCAGACCTGCTGAGCTTTTCCAGCAACTTTGTTTTTGTTCCTGATTTACAGCATCCGCAGTTCTTTCGGATTTTATTATGCAAAGGTTAGAACAGACAGCACTCCCCACTACACACCCGAAACTCTGGGTCCTTCGTGATTATCAAACACACAAGACTAGAAGAAACCCACCGACACAAATCTCACCAGCATAAAATTCACAAAAGAAGGAGAGAACAATAACAGACTACCCTTCCTAGACATAACAGCGGAACGTAAGAACAACGGGGAACTCCAGACTAGCGTATGCAGAAAGACCACACAAACAGACCAGATACTTAGTTACTCCAGCAACCATCCCAACAACCATAAACAGAGCTGCATCAGGACATTATTTGAATGAGCCACAACACACTGCAGCAACTTGGAATTGCGCAAAGCGGAACAGGAGCACTTATACAGAGTTTTTAAAAGGAATGGATACCCAAAAAGCACAAGCAGCCATTACCTCTGCGACAGACCACAAGAAGAAGACACAACACGGCCAGACTCACTAATCACCCTACTGTACATCAAGGACATATCAGAGATGACCTCGGTATCAGGGTAGCCCACAAACCAACAATCACCCTGTGACAGCTACTGACGAACTTAAAGGATCCCATACCCACAACCAATAAAACTAACATAATATACAAAATGCCATGCAAGGACTGAGAGAAACATTACACAGGCCAAACTGGAAGAAAACTGACAATAAGGATACGCAAACACCAACTAGACACTAAAAGACATGACCAGTTCTCACTGGTCTCAATACACACGGACAAAGAAGGACAGGAATTTGACTGGGACAACACATCCTTAATAGCAGCAGCCAAACAGAGACATGCCAAGGAATTCCCGGAGGCCTGGCATTCCAACCAGGACTCCACCAACAAACACGTTGAACTGGACCCGATATACAAACCACTGAAAAACAGAACCGGAAGTGATGCCAACCACCCCAGCAAACCGAGGAATATAAGTAACAAGCAGGACAGAACACCAACACTTCACCAGAGGCACAGGGGGAGGAAATGTTTGAAACCAAACCTACTGGCTCGGTGAGCAAATCTACAACCTCATCCACAACCCGAGCTACAAATCTTCTCAAAAACTCTCTATTTTCTAATTGTTAACCAATCCTCTATCTATGCTAATGTACTAACACCAACACCATGGGTTCTTATCTTATTAAGTAGCTGAATGTATGGCACCTTATCAGATGTTTTCTGAAAATCCTGCTTCCCTTTAATTATCCTGCTTGTTACCTCCTCAAAGAATTCTAGTAAATGTGTTGGCCATGATTCCCCTTTTATGAGGCCATGCTGCCTCTGCTTGATCATGTGGTGTATTTCTAAATGCCCTGCTGTAAAGTCAACTGGCCTATGGTTACCTGTGTTTTGTTAACCCTCATGTTTTAAATCTAAGATCTAAGAATTCCTGGAAGATTACTCCAAGTCCATCACTATCTCTGTGGCTACTTCCTGTAATAACCAGGGATGCATCCCATCAGCTGCAGGATGTTGTACTGCGGGAAATATTCCCATTACATCGGAGACTCTAAAAGGCTAATCTTTATCTCTCTCTCCATGTTGCCCCTTGTAGGCACCATCTGAAGACATGCTGTTAGTTTTCACAGTTGCACTAACAACACCAGCTCTCTGAATGCTTCCACTGCTGTCAAATTCTGTTATAGCACAGACAGAGCCCATTCGGTCCATCGTGGCAATCTCGTGCCCTTTCCCCATATCCCTGCTCACTATTTCTATCCAAATCAACATCTTCTTGAATGCCTAACTTGAACCTGCCTCCACCTCAAATGATCAGCCTGCTGACTGGATATCTAGCGCTGGAAAAGCAGAAAGTATCTCTTGATTTGATACTGGAGAGATTGGGGCCATTGTTTTCAGTCGCTACTCCAAACTTTGCTTCCTAACCACTAAACCCAGCCATCTCCCCGGCCACAGTCCAAAATGCAGTCATTCCTGCCAGCATTGATTCTGCAAATTTGGAACCCTGATGATATCCCACAATTTCACACTGACTCAGTTCACCCAGCCCTGAAATCCTTCTCTGTGCCTTGATTCACTACAATCTCCACTGTCGGTGAAGTGCACTCTGGGCTGGGTCAGACATCAGATCCTCTGTATACCTGAGGTTTTTCAAAATTCCCCTTTCTCTGCAAGACCCTTTCACAGTTCACCCCCTCTGCTTACTGACCTACATTGACTCCAGGTCATGCAAAATCTTGGCTTTAACATTCTTATCCTTGTTTTCAAACCCTTTCCTGCCTTGTCCCTTCCTATCTCTGTAACCTCCTGCAGTCCCTCAAACCTCTCAGAACTCAGCATTCCTCTCATTCTGGCCTCTTCATCCACCGGTTATTATAATCACAACATACTGGTGACTAGGCCACAAGGTTTACAATTCACTCCTTAAACTCCTGACTTTCCAAACTGAAGACGATCTGTAAAAATTATGTGTGTTTCACTAGGTTTCTGGTTTTTGACCATTATCTTCATCCAATGCTCAGGGTCATACCTCATTTTTTATTGCTTTGGAGAAGCATCTTGGAAGGTTTCACTGACCAAAGGCCTGATGTCAACATGAATTCTTGATATGTCCCACCCAATAGGTGCACAGCAAGCACCAATAAATAGCAATGACATAACAACCACACCATTGGTCTTCTAACAGTGTTGCCCTTCAGACCACAATGTACACTCTGATACAACACACTGTGTGTTAATTTAATATTAAATCCGACAGAGAGCACCTCCAACAGTGCAGCAATTCCCAGCATTGTCAGGCCGACAATGCAGCACTCCCTCAGTACTGACCCTCCGACAATGCAGCACTCCCTCAGTACTGACCCTCTGACAATGCAGCACTCCCTCAGTACTGACCCTCTGACAATGCAGCACTGACCCTCCGACAATGCAGCACTCCCTCAGCACTGACCCTCTGACAATGCAGCACTGACCCTCCGACAATGCAGCACTCCCTCAGTACTGACCCTCCGACAATGCAGCACTGACCCTCCAACAATGCAGCACTCCCTCAGCACTGACCTTCCGACAGTCCGCCGCTCCCCCACCCCTACCCTCCGACAGTGCGGCGCTCCCTCAGCACTGACCCTCGGACAGTGCGGCACTCCCTCAGCACTGACCCTCCGACAATACGTCGCTGCCTCAGCACTGACCCTCCGACAATACGGCGCTGCCTCAGCACTGACCCTCCGACAGTGCAGCACTCCCTCAACACTGAACCTCCGTCTGGTCCTCCCTCTGACTCCTTCAGCATAACAACTTCAGAAACAAAACAGAAATTCCTGGATAAACTCGGCGGCTATGATGTTCTGAAGAAGGGTGTCTGCTTTCTCCCCACACGTGCTGCCAGACTTGCTGAGTTTTTCCAGCAATTTCTGTTTATGTTTCTGATTGCCAGCATCCACAGTTTTCTTTAAACATCTGTTAACTCTTGGGTGTCCCTAAGTATGTCAAATATCTACCTAATGACTCCTAGTTTCAGAGAGTGACGGAGAATCAGCCAGGGTTTGTACTCCTGGTAAATGTGTGTGAGAGTGTTGGGTATTGTATCCTGACAGGAACAGATTGTGATGCTGCCTGTGGCCAAATAGCACCATGCTCTGTATTGTCAGAATGGGAGTCAGGTAATTTGATGTGGGTCCCTGTGAGGATGAACACCCTGGGTAAAGCGGGGAAAGTGATGATGGATGTTGCTGCCCTGACACAATGTTCTGCCTCCCACAGAATTGGAGAGACTGGGGCTTTAAGGACATGGACAAGGACACGGCCCCAGAACGGCCACTCCCTTCGGCGAGGATTAACGGCTCTGAGGCGGAGCTGCACCAGGGGGCCCTTCACGGACCAGAATTGGGTTTCCAGCAAAGAGACTCAGAAAGACTCGGGGTGGAGCTCCACCATGGGGCCCGAGACGGTCCAGAGCTGCGCCTGAGGAGCGCGGAGCTCCGCCGGGAGGAACGGCAGCGCCCTGGCGCGGAGCTCCGCCGGGAGGCCGCCGAGCTGAGGCGGATGAGGGAGGTGCAGCAGGCCCGCAGGAGACGGTTATCGGAGGCGTGTGCCCGGTCTCGGGCGGAGGAAGCCGGTGCTGGGACCGGGCCGGGGCCGGGGCCGGGGCCGCTGAGCCCACAGCAGGTGTCGCGGATCTGGGTGGAGGATCGGTACCGGCTGCTGTACTGTGAGGTACCGAAGGCGGGATGTTCGAACTGGAAGCGGGTCCTGATGGTACTGGGGGGCCAGGCCCAGACCACGGCCCAGATTGAGCACCAGGCCGCACACTACAGTAACTCCCTGCGGCGGCTCGACAGCTTTGACCGGGAGGGTGTCCGTCTCCGGCTCCGGACCTACACCAAGCTGCTGTTTGTCCGGGAGCCACTCGAGCGCCTGGTCTCGGCCTTTCGGGATAAGTTCGAGCGGCCTAACGCCTACTACCAGCCGCTGTTCGGTAGCGCCATCATTGCCCGGTACCGGCCTAATGCCACAGTCCAGGCTGTCCGCACCGGCTCCGGGGTTACATTCCCGGAGTTTGTCCGTTACCTGTTAGACCCGGCCCGGCCCTTAGGGATGGACATTCACTGGGAACCGGCGAGCCGCCTCTGCAGCCCGTGCCGCATCCGCTACGACTTTATCGGCCGCTTCGAGCGCCTGGAGAGCGAGGCCGACACGGCCCTGCGGCTCCTCGGGGCTCCCCGGAACCTCCGCTTCCCCCGCGGCCACCCGAGCACCGGGCCCGGCCTGAGCCGCCGATACCTTTCCCAGCTCAGCCCCGGGGACCGGCTCCGGGCCTTTCACTTCTACCGCAGCGACTACACCCTGTTCAACTACCCCCGGCCGGCGGCCACCCTCCCGGACTGACCCCCCCCCCCCCCCCCCCCCCCACCCCCCCCCCCCCCCCCC